TTTGTGTGCATGGTGCTCAAGTTCCCGCAGATCTTTGTACTGATGCGAGCGAAATCTACGACCGGAGTGAGCCTCAACAGCCTTCTGCTGGAGCTGATCGGGTAGGCTGCTGTTCCGCTTCTGGGATGGTTTTTTTGTTTGTTTGTTTGTTTGTTTCTTGCTCTTAAATTTTGTTACATAATCTGTTCACGTGTGCAAGTATCGATGTAACTTAGTAACTTTAAGCTGCTGTGATGATGGGACGTCTTCCTCTTCCTCACTTGTGGTTGGTGTTCAGCAGTAAAGGCGGACTCATCCTGTCAGAGAGCAGCTACAAATGCTTCTTCTGAAAACGCTGCGAGACGCTCAGCACTAAAAGCTCTGGTGTTGTCTTTGTTACCAAAATTCTTTCTTCTTAAAGGCTGGATAAACGATGTTTAAAAGTTACCACCTTACTGGTAACATTCTAACAACGTTGAATGTTACCAGTAAGTCAGAATGTTACAATCACCGCGTAACCCTACAGTACAGGTGATAGAGTCGCTGGTATTGGTATTGACTCGATACTAGCGTGATAGGACTGATTTTTATTGTTCATTGAGATGTGTACATAATTTTCAAATTGATGATTGATCATAAATCATGACACTGCTCTCCCCAACACAAGCTGCCTTTATATGTCATAAGTATCAGTATCGGCAATACCTATCCTGCATTTACTTTCAGTATAACACAGTGCTGTCTTACTTGCATTTCGTTGGACTGTGGAAGGAACCCATGCAGGTACAGAGAAAAAGTGCAAACTTCATCCCTAAAGGCTCCAGCTGACCAGGAGGTGCAAACCCAGGACCACCTTCTTTGTAGTCAGTCTGATGGTATTAGAGGAAAAGCTGCCTAAGAGGTCACCAAAACTGCCTGCATTCTTTAACTAATCTAAACAGCACCTTTCAGGACTTCATGAATATGACATTTCTGCATTTCTTTTCTTACTCCAACACATCCTCAAACTGTTGCAGACAAAGTGCTCTCCATTAGCTAACACATTACGGTTTTAAAAATTCTGTAACATTAGGCCTCAGTAGCATCCTGAAAATGGTTCATGAAAACAGTTATCATGTAACATCCTCAGCATTGCAGTCAACACATTTTGCCATAGTTAAGCTTTATGTACTTTTGTCCATGTTTTATCTATGGAGAGACGGACTGAGAGCTTTTAAGACATATTTTAGCATTTTAACAATATTTCTGTTTTGTGTGGATTCAACTGTACTGCTCACAGTAAGTCTGCTAAACACCAAAACTGCCTTTAGATGATAAGCTTTTGGAACCAAACACACAAGTTATACTCCAATATAATAGTACTCTATATTTCCATTTATATAGATGTATTACTCCTGTATAGTATCCAGATTGCAGGATTAGCAGTGCATTTCATTATAAAAGCTGAGTGACTAAAGCCATCCAGGGGGTCAGACTGGATCCTTTGGGCAGCT